CTGACCCCTCTCTTCGCCTCTAGGCTTCTCCAGGTGTGTAGCGGGCGGGCCGTCGCCCCCCCAGCCATGCCCGTGGACCTGGCCGTGCGGCTCTGCCTGAGCCACTCGCCTCCCATCCGCAAGCTGCTGAACTCCTACGAGGAGCTGCGAGGCAACCGAGGCCGCAAACCTCTCCGATCCTGTCTCAACCAGAAGCTGAGCACAGAACCTGAGCGGCGAGACAGCACCAAGAGCTCCAAGGGCCAGAAGAAGAAGCGAGTTGTGTTTGCTGATATGAAGGGTCTCTCACTGACAGCTGTCCGCTTCTTCTCAAAGATTGAGGAAGACCTCTGTGACTTGCAGCATGCCCTGTCAGACCTCGCCTGCCTCCGACCTAGGCTTTGGGACTCACGCCCAGAAGCGTGCAAGTATGTGCTGGACTTCCCACAGCCCTCTGCAGACTACACAGCTTTCCGCAGCAGCCTGCACAGGAACCTTGTCTGCCTGGAGAGCTGTCTGATCCAGGACCGTGCTCTGTCAGGAACAGTGAAGGTCAGAAACATCGAGTATGAGAAGAAAGTGACAGTCCGCATCACCTTCGATGGCTGGAAGAGCTTCCGGGACATCTCCTGCCAGTACATGCACAGCACATATGGCTCAGCTGACACAGATGTCTTCTCTTTTGAGCTCGCCCTGCCCAAGCCCTCCGTCTCCCGCAGAGCCACAGAGTTCTGCATCTCCTTCCAGTGCGGACAGAAGACCCACTGGGACAACAACCACGGGAGGAACTACAAGATCTGCCACGTGGGCACGATCCGCCCTCCCTCCCATGCCGTGAAGAGTGCCAAGGGGGCCTGGGAGCATCTTGGCACCTCTGGGGCTGCTTCCCTGGTCCTTTCTCACCTGCAGACCTGGCGGCGTTCAGAGACACACGCTCCTTATTGGTAGGAAGGCAGTATGTGGACAGATGTAGATCCCCTCCGTGTCTCGACTATGGTACAAGGGTCTTTGGGGGGGGCTCAGCTGCATAAGATCCTGCTCACAGTTTTGTTAGCTCTTCCCTGGCCCACTGCTCTATGAGCAGCTGCCAGTCTCCACAGAAGCTTCTTCACTTCTGTCTCCTGCCACAGAGGCTGAAAGCTGCTGCTTGGACCAACTCCTGCCTGTAGGTTCTCAAAGCAATGCAACTGAGAGTAGAGGAGTGACAAGGGAAGGGCCGTGGGCCAGGGCCCGCGGCTGTGC